AGAACAGATCAGAAAACACAACTAAATTTTAAAAAAACAAAAAAACTTTTTTCTTGCAAAAGTTAAAGGAGTTGGAACTCACAGACATTATTTTTTTTAGAAAATTATGATATGGACAACTGAAATAACCACTATCAATAGCAAGTATATTTATGGAAATATATTCACTCTCAGAAGTAATAAGGTTTATAAAAATGCATAAATATACTTACTTTTTTGGCCCCAAATTTTGCTAACACATATGACAGGAGCATATGGTGAGATGGGCATATTTACTTGTGATGATGCAAAATATTAAAGCATTTTTGGAAGAATTTTGTGACATCCATCCAATTTAAATAGACAAATCCAAAACTATAATCTGAAATATATGAATATATGAATATATGTATGTATGTATATTTACGATTAATTACTCAACCATGTAATATTGATCAAATAAATAGAAATATCCTATATAGCCATTAATGAGTGAATGGTTAAAGTATCATACCCTGAAAAACTAAGCATGCAACGATTCATAATTATGGAAGAGAGCTACATGGCCTGACATCAAAAATTTCCAAGAAAAACAATAATGGGCTAAAATCAACTTAAAGTAAATTTAGAACTCTGGTTAGGTTAAAAATCTGCAGAACTTCATTTAGAAAAAATACAGAATAAAATGTTAATTCTTTTGGTGACTAAACACATGATTGTTTGTATTTAAGATTGAAAGAGTTACCGATGAATTTTATATTATGCAATATATATCCCTTTATATCTTTTTTGCAATGAATATAAATGTATGTATTACTTATAGAATGTAAACACTAATTAAAATGCAATAATAGTAGAGTATAAATAATGTTATTTTATGGCAGCCATATAGAATTATAACAAGATATCTGAAAAATTTTTCCTTTGTAAGTCTATGAAAATGAAAAAAAGATTGAGGTAACCACTTGCTGATGCGCAATGCTTTGCATTTATGAGGGGAAATAAATTTTCTTTATTGATATTGGTAGGTGAATTTCCTGGAAAACAGTAACTTTCCCTATCAAAAAAAAGTCTATTAATTTTCATTTTTAAATAACTATATACTTTTAAAATAAAGGTTATATTGAAATTTAAAATAAATATTAAATGCACAGAAGTAAAATTAAACATATTTGGGGGATAATGGCAACTTGGTCTTGAGATATAAAGCATTTTATACGTTACTGGATTTTATCAGTAAATATTTTATTTAAGATATTTATTCCTATGTCTGAGAGTAATTGGCCAAAATGTTTCTTGAAATGTCCGTGTTGGTTTCAAGTCTACTGTAGCCTCAAACTGCACCTCATCATGGCGGCCATGGCCTCCCATCTTTCCCTGCCTTCTGTGGGTGCTTGTGTGAGCTTCCTATTATTTCCCTAATATTTGGTGAGGTCATTAACAAAATTAACACTAATTTGGAGATTTCTTTGTCATAAGATTTCAAATTTCTGATTTTATTTTATTTTTTAAATTTTATTCATTTATCTTTAGAGGGGAAGGGAAGGAGAGAGGGAAAGAAATATCAATATATGGTTGCCTCTCATGTATTCCCTGTTGGTAACTGGTCTTCAACCCAGGCATGTGCCCTGACTGGGAATCGAACCCTGATCCTCTGGTTTGCAGGTTCACATTCATTCCACTGAGTTATATCAGCCAGGGCTCTGATTTTATTTTTTATAGATGAACAAGTGTTCAGATTTTTCTTCCTGTGTCCTTTCTGCTAGATTTTTTAAAAAAGTTTAATGTAATGTACATTTTTTAATTTGATGGCATAAAGTTGTTTATGTCCACTGTTACCTATTTATTGTCTGAACATGTGATAATATTCTGCTTTTCACTTCTGATATTGTGATTTGTACCTCTTCTTCCAACTTTTTAAAACTCATTTGTGTTTATTTTTTAAGGGAGGATTCCTCATTTCATATCTCTATTTTGTTTTCAACATCATTAAATCTTGTTTTTGTTATCCCTTCCTTTTTTCCATAATTTTAACATACTCTATATTTTAATTTCTTGGAATAGATACAAATTTCATTGATTTTCAGCATTTCTTCTTTTCTATTATATATATCTAAAGCTATACATTTCCTTTAAGGGTAGCTTTAGATGACTCGGACTCTGTTTGCTGGCATATTTCTTTGTTATCATTCAAGTCGATATATTTCATAATTTCTTTAGATATTTTTTGTGAATTTTCTCACACCTGTCATTTTGTGGTTATTACAGGTATTGATTTGCTCCTAATTCTACAATGATCACAAAATGTGTTTTCTGTTATTTTGTGTTTTAGATATTTGCTAGTCTGGTGTATATATTTATGGTAAATGTTTTATATAAATTTGAAAACATGTTTTACCATGGGTTATTTGTCAAATCAATTACTAAGAGAGAAGCTATAAAATCTTCAACTATGGGTGTGGATTTTAACGTCTCTTTATGTATATGTTTAAGCTATGTCCTTTATTGCATACATTTTAAATATTCTGTTAAATGTACTTTTAACTACAAATTTTTTCTTAATATATAGTAATAATTCTTGTTTTACAGTCTATGTCACCTTTCTTTTGGTAAGTGTAGAGTTAATATATCATTTTAAATTTACTCTTACTTTCAACATTTTTGAAAGTACACTTCTTATAAACAGCATGTACTAGGTCTTTTCTGGGAAATTCACAATGAGGGAATGTTAACTCATGTCCTAAAAGGAAGGAATCCATAAAACAATTAGATCAAAATTTAATACCACAATGTTATTTATTTTATTGTAAAATTAATATAAACAGTGAGTATGAAATTGAATAAAGACCCTAAGGTACATTTTCAGTTCTGGGTAAGATGGATTAACCCCTCTGCAACCTTTTGTTCCTGCTGACTGTAACTAAAAATCCTGGCCCAAAGAAACACACAGCATGACACACAAACACACACACACGTACACATACACACATACACACACAGCCCAAAGACTCACTGACGAGTAAATAATAACAGGGAATGTGGGAAGAAATGTCAAAATTTGAAACAAGATTAATAGAATGGAGGATGTGAGCTATCTTTCATTTTATTTCATTTTCCTCATCTCTTATTTTCCAGCTGTGGCCCAATGTTGGACCCAATTTATAACTGGGTATCTGGAGAATTCAGCAAACAACTTCATGGGAGGCCAGTTCTTCTGGACAGTGGGCCAGGGGAAAAGGTGCCTGTGAGCCAGAGTGTGAAGAGGTCATCCACATTGTCATCATCACTTTTCCCTATTTTACTGTCCAACGCCAGCCCTGACATCAGCCCCTGCCCCTGGTCTGCACTGCCATGACCTTCTCAGGGGCCCAACACCCTGGAGAAAAATGTGCGCTTCTGGGTGGAAGGTTTAGGAAAAGGGCCCTGGTTGTGCAAAGAATTTGAGGAAAAGTCCTGTCATTGGTTGACTGATTTAATGCTGAATTGAATGTTTCTCTTTTCTATCACTGTTTTACCCTAAACATAGATTCAGTTCTATGGAACTGTGTGATAACACTTAGTGGGAAAACTTCAGACTTTACGAGATACCAATGTGTCTGCACATAGCAACTGGTGAAAGGTGCACCTCACGTGACAGAGAGTCAGGGGAGTCCCTAAGGGAAGGAAGTTAGAAAAAGGAGGTCATTAAGTCTCTGTGGGAACGGACACGTGCTCGTTCAGCCCCAAGCTGCACATGTGCAGAAGTAACCCAACGAACTACAGGCTCAGAACTGAGTGACAACCAAAGTTCTGTGGCGTCCTAAATCAGCCCTTGACTGGGGCACGGAGAGTCAAATCCAAACAGCACCAGCACACATTTTCGAAACTCAGTCACTGTTGGAGTCACTGCTAGGGAAAGTCAGATGGAACTTGCACTCAGAAACCAGCGAGGTTGACGGCCTGCTGAAAATAAACTAGGAACGTTTCCCCAGAGGACTTCGAACAGGCCAGGAGTCTCAGAACAATGATTCACAATATCCAGGATAGCATTTCAATTCCAGGTGAGAGGTAAGAAGCATATTTTACCCATAAAAAGTATAAAACCAGGAAAGAAGGTCTGCGGGGAAGATCACTTGAGAAAACTGAATCAGCATGCAGTGCTGAGAGGAAGTTCTCAAGGATAGAGATTTTAATTCTGGCTCAAGGAGCTGGAAAGGAACCTCCTCGAGTTCAGAGAGAAAGTGTGGAAATCTACTTCTCTTCTTAATTTCTTCCCTTCTCTGTTGTCTCACAATCCATCATCTGAGTAATCTTTCACAGTCCCTGTCAGTGGCCATTAAAAGGGGTAGAAAGAGCCAAAACTCTGACAGAGAGAAATATTATCCTCAATTTGGTTGAATTATAGGTATAGAAACCAACATAGGCAAAGTCACAGGAGCATAAAAGTCCTTAGTTTGTTTGAAAAAGACACAAAATTCAGTATAGTATCAAATGTCAAGTGCGTTAGAATAAAAAATAAACCTCAAAAGCAAATGACCTTGTGTATCAGGAAATGGAATTGAGATGTTATTTTGTAATGATTGAAACTCTGGACTAACACAATAGTTATATGCACTGGGTCAATACTAATGTGAACATAGAAGACAGGAAGAAGGGCATTTGATAGAAGAAATAAATCTGATTTACATGCAAGGATTAAAAAAAACAGAATCAAATTTGGTGAAAACCTACACGTGTAAATTTTAGTCCAGTGAGAAGCAGATGCCAAGACAGGATAACATGTGGGAGAGAGTCCCCGGAGGAACAGTGTAAAGAATACCGTGGGAGGGAGAGTTTGTGGGCAGGAAAGCTTTTAGGCCCTAATGGAAACTTGACACCTGTAAGATTAGAGAAGAGGTAGGTTTGTGTAGAAAGAGATTCAGACCATTACTCAGTTCTGAAAATTTCTCAACTGTCTGGCACTAGAATTTAGAGAAGCAAGTTAGTACGAGAAACCATAGCCCTCATGGCTGAAATCAGCGTGAGTTGCAACTGGTACTTACCCCTTCCTCCTGACATAATACATTTGAAACTCCTCTGACCCGATCAACTTGGCAGGCCCCGATGCTACTCAGATGTCATTCCTGAGGGCTCAGAGAGCTTGGCAGTAATATTTAGGCCGTGGTGGGCTCTGGATGCAAGAAGCTCATGCAAGCTGGAAACAGTACACCTCCATGGGATAGTCATGGTGTTTACTGGCAAGAAGGCACCACTTTTGGGGACTGTGCCCTCTGACCACGCTGAGTCCAAATTGCAGAAATAGGGAGCACAAAGTTCTCTAATAAATAATTAGTAAAGGTAAGTGGGTTCATTCCCATTTTCATCCCGGTTCTCAGACCCATGCATTCTCCCTATTAGAGATAAAGCACACAAGGAGACATTTGATTCACTGCCTGTTCTGTGTCTGAAGGTTGATACTTCTTCCTTATAGAGCATCGCCTCTGATTCAGTGTTTCAGGTCACCTTCATTAGTCCATTCTAACCCTTTATGAGTCTATCTGCCACTGGATGGAGCGGAATGTGATATGACCAGGTCAGAGGCCCACTCCTACACTACCTACTCTGTACAATGGGTCCCATAGATGGGTGATATGCTGTGTAAGCTGCCATAGCTAAAAATCAAGCATCAGTAAGCCTACAGGTAGCAGTAATGGCTGACGCCTTGACATTGGGAAAGGGAAACTCCATACACCTAATAGATATCTCTCCCTGTGAAGACAAAACAGCTGGAGGTTCTAAGTTATTAGAGATCCATCATTATGTATTTGCCAACAAAGGGACAGTGATGTTCACAAGAATGACCAAGGTCTTTGTCTGTAGAGGAATGGGCATTCACGGACAGCAATAGCCAGATCAGCCTTGGTAAGTAAGAGTCCGTGATGTGGGGCCCATGTGTTTTCACAACCTCTGCCACCTTACCACTTGGTTCACGTGCCTGTCATGCCATTTGCTGGATAAGCAATGATGAAAGTTGGCTAGTAGCAATGGCAGAGTCAGTTGTCAAATTGGTTTTGCAGCACCTCTTTTCACTGGGCATGAATTCTAGTGGGTATTGACACATACTCAGAAGTCTCCACTTTTCCCCAATGCTGTATCATCACACTGACTAAACTGTTTCTTTCCACTAAAGCAAGTACCAGTGTATCCAAATGTAAAACTCTCACTATCACTTTTTCCAGGGATCACCCTGATGCACATTATCCTCAGAACGGGATCTTCATTTCCAGGTAAGCAGTAAGTAAATCAGTCACCAAATACTGTAACCCAGTTGTTTTCTCTAATAACTCCTGGTATCACATGGGTCAGTAAAAATCCTTTAGAATCAATTACCTGGACAAGTTTAGATAACCAAAAACTTTCTAGTGAAAATGAATTAAAAGGGAGAAAACAATAGTAGGCAGAGAGAGCCTTCAGTCTGCTTCATAATTCTGGCACCTATGAAAGAATCAAGGAAAAGAAAATTGAGTAGGAAGTTTCAGATGAGAAAGTCTTGGCCAGGCCACAGGAAAACCGAGCAAAACTTTCTCATTAAAGAAATGTTCCATCAACAGCACTCTTGTCTTGCTCAGTCACTGGCTAGGGGTCATTTTCCTAGGGAAAGCACTGCTTTAGCGTTCCTAGGGACTGCAGCTGAAGGCTGTCAGACATCTAGGTTCCCTGCAAGCAGGTTGAAAAGACATCCATCATTTCTGTTGCCTTTGAGACATTGTAAAATCAACCTGGACTACATATATTCGAGTTTCTCTTTGGTTTTAAAAGTTGTGATTTTATAGTATGTACTTATTTTCTTTTATGTGGGTTCCCCATGTATCAAAAATGATTAAAGAAATTTGTATACTTGTAACATCCTACACCAGATAAAGAACAAGTGGTTTGTTTTTTTGGTCTATCTTTCCACCAAGCACATGATGCATTATTCAGAGAAAACAGTAAAAAATGTGTTATATTTTCTACTGGGTAACTCATGACATCTTCGAAACATGAGATTCTCAGTAAATTCCTATGAAAATGCTTTTTCTACTATAAATCATTTCGTATGTCAGAATCTTAGCACTCCTAATATATAATTTATCAATTACAATATAGGTAACATTTAAAAGCATAATTGCTTTTACAAAACAGTGTAAAGAGCTTTATATTGATTTCCTTTATTGATTCTACAAAGAGGTCAGTATCCTCTCTGTTATATTTCTAAAAAAGGCAGCACAGAGATTGCCTAAGGAATAATGTGAGCTGCAGTTTGAACGAGAAGCTGTCACAGTAGTAACAACGGCTCTAACAGCAAATACTACATGGATATTTGTGTTAAACATTAGCCTTATTGATATCTACGTCTAGTTACTCATCGAGGGCATAAGTCTACAAGTTCCACCGAGTGAAATTTAGAGGACAAGGCCAACCAAAGTGCTACCTTGATGTGGTTTGTGTCCTCATTTTTCAGGGTCTGTTTATCTGGGCTGCTCTGGAAAATTTCGTATACCCTAACTAAAGCGTGTCTAAGGCCACCCACACTCTAACTGAAAGCAAATTAACCTTTCCTCCCAGGTGTCTAGAACTTGTGTTAACTCTAACTATGACCATCTTTCTCATGAAGAGAGCCAAGAAAAATTTTTAAAGGAAGGTTCAGTGACAGTAAGATCCTGAGAAACATTTGCTCTTAAGCCAACAACAGTGGAGCTGAAACTCATACTGTAAGATTCCTTTCCCTTGCACTCGACTTTTGTCTTTACAAAATACACATTAACTAAAAAGGCTCTCTTAGTGTTTCTCAACCTGGGAGCACACTAGAATCACTTGAGGATATATACATTTTTAAATCTTAATACAGGTCACAGTAAAGGCTGATAATTCAATAATATAATATTATGTACACTAATAGCCTTCATCTAAATTTTTGACACCCATTGTTGACATTTATTTGAATCAAAGGTTCCCTCAGGAGTTGAAAAATAATGTTTACCTAATTTTATCATTATCCCTACATTTTTATGTGACCATTAATAAGAAGAGTTTTTCCCATTTTCTATTTTTTCAAATTCTGTACTGTCAAATTCTCTATTACTGTTTAATATAATTCATCACCATTGTTATTATGCTATTGCTCAAGTTATGCCAAACGTGGCCAACAAATTCCCTTGCAGTCAGTGTATGTGTCCTTTTAACATGTTCAGTAGGATCAGAAACATGATCAGGATCCTCCCTCTCCCCATAAGTACTTATATATCACATCCTAGTGGCATCATTAACAAATTCATTTGAACAAGAGAAAGCACTTATGGACATGAAAAGGAGATTAAATTTAAATAACCTCTATTTGCTGAATATATATATATATATATATATTATGTACACATACATACACATATATGTATATATATATATACACATACATATACCAGAAAATGTTAAAAATAATTGCATTTACAGTTAAATTTAAGAAGTTACACAAAAAGCAAATGACTAAAACTAAAAAAGTTTAGAGAAAAAATATTAAGTAAAATGTAGAAATTAGTAAGTACAAAAAGAAAAAGATCAATATGTTATTTTTAAATCAATGAGTGACAAATTCTAAAATATACCTTAAGCAGGTTAAGACGCAACCATAAAAAATTGACTATTGCCCCCCAACCCAAACCATGTTTTCCTAAGCGCTCAGGAATGTACTGAGATTATCACCTACTCTTGGCAATAGATATACAGCCAAAACTTCAGAAGTGATTGGATGGATCAAAAGGATAAGAGAAACCTGAAAACAATGAATAAAATACCCTATGAGATCCAGGATTAAGCTACTGTGTGTCTTCATGGGGATTTTTATCAAAATGTGTTTGTTTCTCTGAAGAAGAAATTGTTGTTAATTTTTGAGTGCCCTCCTTCTCGCAGTTGATGGCTCACTTTGCCTACATAGATAAATTTTAGCCTTTCTCTTATCACTCACTGTAATTCTTATGCACCTTTCCAAGCCTTTGATAGATCTTACAGAGAATAAATGTTTAGAGATTGATCAGATAAGAAACCTTAAGTAAGCCAAAGATGACTGTTAAACTAAACATTGCGCATCTGTATGCCAATAACTGCTATACTGTGAAGTATTTTTTAAAATTACAGATAATATAAATTAAAAAGATCGCCTGAAAGAGGTAAATAACATCTAAATATACAAATGATTATTAAATATAAAATAAAGTTTGATACCAGTCAGAAAGCTATGCATCTTCTTTTGAGGATGAGTCCATTTTTATATCAACAGTCAACATGGGAGGAGGCAGAAAAGACTTAAGTTTCAGACTAATCTCCCAGGTTAACATAAATGCAAACACTTTAAATAATACATCAGCAAACCAAAGGCAGCAGTTGTTCAAAAATAATAAATGGTGACTAAGTATGGTTTATATCAAAGAATATTTTAATATCTATGTAATAGTAAAGATAATATTGATGTGCACAGAAAAGCAATTGATAACTTGTACTGTAGACCATGTGTTTAAAATAAAGGATGCTTCTTTAAAATGATAACTATCTTCAACTGAAAGCCATAGCATACAATGCACCAAAAGGTTAAGTCTGGGAGTATGCTTATTTAGACAGAAGCTGGATAAGTATGACAAGGATAGTAGATGGAAAACACAAATGCGAACTACTAAGATCGTATTACTAAGAGAACACCAGAAAATATAAACAAGATATTCGATCTGCAATGACTATAGTAAGGTTCTCAGATGCAAGATAAAAATAATAGTAATAATTAATAGCAATTTTATTTCTCATAAGGTAAGAAAACTCAGATAGCACGAGAGGCTCCTTTCCTGTCTCACTTAAACTACCGCATCAGTTTTCAGTTCTTTCAATCGCATTTAGGCTATTACCGGCACATGAACTTCGTAGGCTCCTTCTTCACAAAAAGGCCATATCCTTGATGAGGAGGTTTCTATTTGTTCTCCTTTGTCCTGGACCTATGCACAACTCTTTTGGGATAATGAGGGTTTGCAGAATGGTGAGTGCTTTGCTGCTTCTCAGCCTCAAAATTGTACCTAGTAAAATTTATTTTACATTTAAATTGTGTGAAGTTAGCATGTGTCAGTGATCCTATATATGTTACCAAAATTATGCATTTAGAAAATATAACAGGGGAAAACTTATACATATCATTACAAGAGCAAGTCCATAAATTATTTAAGAGCAAATCTACAAGATATATGCAA